CTTCTCGGAGGGGCTTGTCTTAGAATGGGTTGGCGCCCCCGGCTAGAGGTGGCCAGCACAGTATACGAGCTGCTGGTTTGAGGGGTGGTAGGTGGCATTTGAACTAAGATCTGCTGGAAGCCATGGGAGCCATGGGAATGAGGACAAGCAGCTCCAGGTGGAAAGAATGGTCAATGCAAAGGGCTTGAAGTAGGAGCAGACGTGGCCAGATGGAGAGCGAGGACAGCGCAGGTGACGGGTCAGGTAGGACGGGTGCGGCAGGTCAGGCGCTTAGAGTCATGGCAGGAGTTTTGCTGTGTCATTAGTGTCTTGGGGGGCCGCAGGGACAGACGGTGTGACCTGGTGCATTCTGCATTTTTAGCAGCTCCCTCTGCTCTTCGTGGGATGTGGAGCAGTGAAATGGAGCCCAGAGGTCAGCTAGGAGGTTGTCACTGCCACCAGGCCGGACCCGGAAGTGGTGCGGGCCAAGCCGCGGCACTGGAGCTGGCAGAGGGTTGGCGCTGGTGCTCTTCTGGGGGCTGCGTCAGTGTTGCCGGCACTGGCTCTGCAGGTCCCTCTGAGGCCCTCAGAGGCTGACCTCAGGCAGCAAAGGCCCTGGCTCCCCCAGAGCCACATTCCTCGTAGGACCTCTCTGCCCAGCCTGCTGGCCTTATTTTCTCCATTCTATGCTTGAGCTGCCTGGCCTTTATTTACATGTTACTGGGATTAAAGGCTTAAAAATAGGATTTTCAGATTGTCAAGGGAGATCAAGTGGAGTTAAATCTCAATAATTTGAACTGGCTGATAGCTCTCCTTAGTTAATAAGCAATCTGAGTTCTAGAATTTCCCCCAAAGTAGAACAAGTACACTATGGGTGCATCAGTGTCTGGGCTGGCACAGTGCTTCCAGAGGCCGGGCGAACAGCGGTCCTTCGCTGACGCTGGGCGAAGGGGTGGGAGGGGGTTGCTGGGCTTTGGCCTGTTCGTGGAAGGGCACTTGCTTTGGAGGTGCTCGAGCGAGCTCCGTTTGCTAGTGGGGAGCTTAGCTTCCCCCAGCAGGGCCCTGGTTTGCCCTGCGGTGTGTCCTGCTGGAGGTGGGGATCCGTACGACTTGGTCTGTTTTGGTTCAGCTCCGGAGAAGTTCAGCTCATGGAGGTTTGTGCTTTGGAACTGAGACAGGAGCCAGACCAGCTCAGATCAACCCCGGCATCGTGGTTAGACCTGTGGCCTCTTGGGTGACTCGGAGTCACAGCAGACAGCACGTGCTCATGCCAGCACCTGGGCACTGGGCACTGGGCACTGAGAACAGGGTATTTGCAGCTGCCCTGAGGCAAGCAGGGCCGCCTCTTTGCCACTGTGGTTCTCCCAGTGCATGAGCTCTGAGGGAAAGCTGCATTCTGATTGGGAGGAGCTTTAGGTGTGAGTGTGTGTGTGTGTTACACTCCCTCTGATCATGCGTGCGGGGCTTAGTTCAAGGATGGGGTTGCTCCACTGCCTAATCCCACCTCCATGTCTGTGTTCTGAGCTCTGACTTTTCCTCCACACCCACACCCATACCTATACCTGACACCTTTTACATATACACACCACCATTCACACACACCACCATTCATACACACCAGCATTCAAAAATACATACACCATCATTCACACAAACACACCTGACACCACTCACACAAACAGCACTCACACGTCCATTCACATGCACCACACAAACCACCGTTCACACACACCATACCACCATTCACACACCACACACACCATTCACACACACCACATACACCCCCATTCAACACACCATACATGTGCCACCACTCACACTCCACACACATACTACCATTCGCACACAGCACAGTCACCACCAGTCACACACACAACATACATCCAGCCCCATTATGCACACGCCCCACCTGACATCACTCATACGAACATACGAATACTACTGTTCACACACGCAAGCACGCCACACATACTATACCATTCACGCACATTACACTATTCACACATGTACATTACACCATGCACATGCCACGCACATGCACCATGCACATTCACATGCCACGCACATCACACACCACACACCCAGACTCATACTGCATGCCTCCACCCTTGGCCACTGCAGTCCTGCTGCGTGACCACTCCTTACTGGGCCTTGGCTGGATATACATCATTGCATGCAGATCCTGCCCTCCAGGAGATCAGAGTCTTTCTTTTTCATTATTGCTATGAAATTTTGCTTTTCTCTCTTCTTTTTAAATTATGTATGAAAAGAATTCTTTTATCCTAAAATACAGCAAAGGTGTAAGCTTGCAAGCCTTCCAAGGCTCCCAGTTAGAGTCAGACTGCTGGGCTGGAGGCCCAGCTGTGCTGCTCGCAGGCTGTGTGCCCTGGGAGTTGCTTACTTTGTCTGTGTCCTGTGCTCACATGTCTTGGTTATGTATTGCTGCGTAACAGCTTCCACAGACCTAGCGGCAGAAAGCAATGCCCGTGAATTCACGTTCGTGATCTCAGTTTCCATGAACAGGCGTCTGCGTGTGCTTTGGGTTCTTTGCCTCACCGTCTCCCGAGCTGCAGCCGTGGTCTGGGCTGGGGCCACAGTCTCATCTGAGGCTCAGTTGGGGAATGATCTGCTGCCGCACTTGTGCAGCTGTGGCAGACTTCTGCCGTATGTGGGCTGCAGCCGAGGCTGGGTTTATTGGCTGTCCACTGTGCCTGACCACGTGGCCTCTCCATGTGGCAGCTCCAAGGACGTCAGTGACTTCCTCAGAATTCCTCCTGGCAAGACAGGCCACAGTCTTATATAGCTGTCCTGTACACCCCACCACTTGGCTGCATTCCCTGGCTGGAGGGAAGTCACAGGCACTCCCACACCTGGGGAGGGAGCCGCCAGGGTACCTTGGGGGCGGGGGGTGGGGCAGGGGCACCCCCACACTGACGGACAGTGGGGTGCTCACAGCAAATGCGTCTGTGTGGAGTCGGTGATTACCCGCGAGAGCTTTGGGCTCCATCTGTTTTGCAAATCTGACTGCTGCTCCGGCCTGTCAGTGCTCCACGCCGTCGTCATCTTCCCTCGCCGACGGGTCATACGAGGAAATGCATGAGTGTCACTGTCCTGAGTGGCCTCCTCCTACCTCCTCACTTTCCAGCCCTCCAGCCTTCGCTGGTTGCTTCCTGCCAGGCCCCTGCACTACCTTGGCACTGTCACGGCACCCTGAGCCCTCGTGCCCTGGATGGGCAGGCCATGGCTACAGTGGGCTGAGCAGGCCTTCCTGCCTCCTCGTCCCTCTGCGTCCTCCGAGGGCTGCACTTGGACTGTGGCTTGTGGAGCAGCTGTTCCCAGCTGTGCGGGGCTGACGAGGTCGGGCGCTGGAACATCCGTGTCAGCTGCCACGTTTCCGTGCGTGAGAAACTGTTCAGGGTCCTGTGTTGCGTCATTGTGCCTGTGGATCCTGTTTAAATGCTCAGTTTTCTCTAGAAAGCTGTGCCGTGAAAGTGCAAAAGTGAGCGTGGACATATGCTCGGCAGCGTGTCGCTCACTGGAGGACTACTGATCGGATGCCTGCTGCGCTGCAGGAGGTGGTGGTGGTCTTACCCAGGTGAGCAGCCACCGTGGTCGTGCCCTCGTGTGGGGACTGGGTAGGCCAGCAGGGTGGGTCTTGCCAACAGTAGACTGTGCCCTTGGTTCAGAGACTTCCTATGGGACCCAGGTCTCTCCTCTGTAAAGCTTGTGATTGTTGGTGACTTGGGGACCTAGACTAGCCAGTACCATGTAGTGTGGGTGCAAACATTGGCCCTGCAGGTTTCGCTCTGTTTTTAAGCGATGGGGCCCCGTCGCCTGTGGGAACACTTGCTCGCCTGGCCTTCAGCCTTCGTCACACACTTCCTTCTGGTGAGGCCTGGACAGGGCGGTCAGATCTGGCCTTGGTCAGCATGAGCCTGAAGCCCCAGGTTCTGTGAGTGACTCAGTGGGGAGGCGTGGGGTCCGGGACCTCACAAAATAGGGAGTGCTCAGCTCTTCCAGAGAGAGGGTGGAGAGAGAGCAGGCAGAGCTTGGGTGACTCCTGAAAGAGAGGTGAGCTGAGGCTCTAGAAGAGGAGGCGGGCTCTCTAGGCAAGGGGCGTGGCCTGGGGCGTCCGAACCTGGGTGCTCAGAGAAGGGTGCTGTAGCTCCATCGGTAGAACGTGGGTGCTGGTGGGGGAGGGTCACGGGCGCGGGCAGACCAAGGTGGGGCCAGAGTGCTGCAGTGCAGATGTGGGCTCCCTTGGTGGGACGTGCAAACCTAGGGAAGAGGGTCTTTCAGCCCTTCACGTACATGTCTGTGCACATGTATGATCTGGAGGACAGGATCGTGGTGCACCGTGGGGAAACCCCTGCTGTGAACAAAGACAGTGGTGGGTGAGGCTGGTGAGCGATGGTGAAGAGCAGGGCCCGCGGGGTGGGAGTGCTGTGAGCGTGAAGGAGGGCGGCTGAGCGATTGGCCAGCATGGTGGGCTTTGCGTGTGATGGGGAGAGGCGATGTATGTATTCCTGGATGTGGTCACAGCTTCCTGGGGGCTTAAATACATCAATTTGTCTTATGGGGGGAGTTTAGAGCGTCCATCTGTCAACTTACCGTCTGTCCGTCGTCCTTCTGTCCGCCCACCCCTCATGTCCATCCTGCTGTCACTGAGACAGAGTTCACGGATAGGCCAGCTGCTGCTGTGCTGTCCACCTGAGCCCAGGCAGCCAGGTGCAGGCGGCCCACGGAGCCAGAGTTGCAGAGAGCCTGCTGGGAGGAATCGCCAAGACCAGGGGGTTTGTGACAGGCATTGCACAGCGCTTGCCAGTCAGTCAGTAGAAAGGGACGATATTTGGAATTTCATAAAGAAATTAAATAGCAGTTGTTTTTGTTTATATTTGTATTCTAATGTTAGAGATAACAAAAATGTTAATAGTATATATTTTAAGTAAAAGAATGCATGCATTTTACCGTTACTTTTATGTTTACTTTCTTTGCTTACCACCCGTTCCATTTTCTTCCAGATTTTTGAAAGGATCTTGTTTATCTGGGCGATTCGTCACCCTGCCAGTGGGTATGTGCAGGGGATAAATGACCTCGTCACCCCTTTCTTTGTGGTCTTCCTTTGCGAGCACACAGGTAAGTGCCTCATGTGAGCGTCCCGCTCAGGCATTGCCTGTGCACTTGGAACTTGGTGTTGCTACCTGTGACTGTCCCAGTGTCCACACCTGCGTTGAGTTAGTGCTGCTGGTGGCAGTGAGCCGGAGAGCAGTTAATGTGGCTTTCAAAAAGGCCTTGAATCTCGTGCTTACGTGCCGTGTACCCAGGTGTAGGTGTGGTTATCGCTGCCTCTCGTTTAATAGCACACGAAGACAAGTGTCGAGAACTGTGTGTGGTTTATTTCTGCCGTCTTCAGGACACTGGCCGTAATGGTTTGAATGGAAACGAGTGAGGAGAAGGGGACAGGGCCTGAGCGCTAGGGCGAGTGTGTGCAAGCTCAGGACTGAGTCTCCACTAGTTGTGTTCCTGCGGCCTTCGTCACTGCTCCACGTCTGATGTACACCCCGTCTTAGGCGATGGTAACTTCCGGGGAAGCTGGGTTCCGTGGCCTAGGTTGGGCTGTGCTGTTTGAGTACGGCATTACCATTTCCATGTGTGTTACCGCAGCTAATTGGTGTAACTTCACCCATTTTGAACATGTTTTACATTTTAAAAAATTTCTCATAATATAAGTTGTGGCATCTATTTCTTAATTTCTTTATAAATAAAAAATAAGTGGAAAAGGAGCGGCCTTAGTGTTTTTGCTTATTTTAATTTGACCCGACTTCGATCTGTCTTCATGTGCACCCGCCCGGTGGGCATTTGCTCGCTTTCAGGGCTGTGGTTTCAGCCGTGGCAGCTCCTGGGCTGCTTCAGAGCACTGTCGCCGCAGTCTGCAGAGGGGACGGACTGCCTCTGAGGACGGCCACATGCCCACTGAGCGAACTTCATGGAGCCCTCTGACCCCGCGCCGTCTCTGGCCTCAGAGGCCGTCTGTTCATCGCCAGGCAGCTAATGAGGACTGCGGCCGCTCGCTCCCGCGTCGGCTCTGAAGCAGGCGAGGCGGCTCTGGAGGGCCGCTCGCTCCCGCTCCTCATTTGACAGATAATGAAAACGTTCTTAATGATCCTGGAACAGTAGGACCTCGTCAGTAGGCTTCAGGTTGGTAATTGAAAGGAGAAGTGCAACTGAGATGTGATTAGAGAATTGATATTCCATGTTAAATAGACCATTTAATTAATGTGGTAAATAAGTTTGTCTTAACTACTTTACCACCAACTTCTGTGTGAGACCCGAGCGATTCTTAATGCGTTCGCCTGATTACCAGCAAGGTAGGGGCAGGGACACGGCTGTGGCGTTAATTGTCCATGAGAAAGAAAACCGGAGAAAACAGCGTTGTGCTCCGTGAGTGCATCTTCAGAGGGGCTCAGAGAGACCGTCCTTGCCTGCCCACAGCCCTCCACCCTCTAGCACCCACACACACGAACCCGTGCACACGCATGTGGATACGTGCACATGCAGCATGTACGGTGTCACTGGAAAGTCCGTGTGACCATTTATTTCTGGCAGTTGGGAATTCTGTAAGTGGGCAGTTTTAGAGGTTCGGTCCTAGATTTCAGGTGTGATCGAATCTGTCTTCCTTTTCGGTCTGGTTTCCCCGCCTCGGGGGCTATTTGTGATTGTCGTCCAGCCCATCTGTCATTATGTCACAAAGCCTCCCACTTGTCCAGATTGCATGCTTTCTTCCGGGGTGGTGCGTCTGGTCTCACGCAGAGTGCGGTGTGTGGCTCTGCAACGCTGACTGAGAGTCTCCTGGCCCTCTGCTGGGGTGGGTCACGTGTGGACAGGAATGCGGTCAGCTCCTGTGCGCAGGGAGCCCAGGGCTGTGGCAGGGAAGGCAGAGGTTCGATGAGCTGGAAGTCATGAGCATTCGTGTCACCAGGAGGAAGCACAGGGTGCTAGGAGCAGGTCTTTGGTCGGGGGTCAGAGGAGGCTTGCTGGACTGAGTGGTGTTTCAGCCGCGTCCAGTGAGATGAGCAGGAGCCAGGGCAAGCTGGGCATGTGGAGAGGGCAGCAGGAGTGGGGGCCCGGGCTGACACCGATGGCCCCGGGCAAGGTGCTGGTGAACTTGGGGCCAAGTCTTAGGGGTATGGGGATGACCGACTGACAGGCTGCAGACCGCCCGTTCAGGGTCTGGTGCCATGGGGAGGAGCAGTGCTGGAGGGTCTCTTGTGGGCCAGGGCCTGCAGGCCATAACTTGCTGGGTGGGGCGTAGACACTATTTTTTTTTAAAAGAGGTTTTTGCCTTAGGGCATGTGTGTTCTTCAGAGAGAAGGAGACAGAGATAGTGAGAAGGAAAGTGAGAAATCACTCTCCAGGGGGATGGCCACACTGCAGTTCCTTCTCCATTCTTCTCCTGGGATCCTGAGCACACACATATGAGGCCGGCATGAGTTTCAAGCCATTTGGTCCAAAACTTGAACCGTGGTTGACCGTGTGGGAGTCCAGTGACATAACTGCTGTGCCTCTTGCTGGCCCCACAGATACTGTTCGGAAGGCTGTTCTGGTTTGCTGAACTCTCGGTTCACTGAGTCTTTAAGCAAGCAAACCTCATGTCTTTAAAGTACATGTTTTCCTTTGGAAGGTTAAAGCTGGTAAAAGGAGTCAGTGGCTTTGACACCTTCGCAGTGTCTCGGCATCAGCATCTGGGTGGTACAAGGACTCTTCGCCACGTGGAGTGCAGAGGCCTGAATGTGCACCACCTCCGGGGAGCTGCCGTGGCCTGCCAGGCCATCATGTTGTCATTTGGGTTTTCCTTTTTCTTCAGGGTTGAAATAGGGTCGGTGGTGAGCTGAAGTTAGAACAAACCCTCTGGGCGTGGGATTTCCCCGGGGCCCTCAGGCGGCGTGGCAGGCAGATCTGCAGTGCCTCAGCAGGAGCTGGGCATGTTCTGGAGTGTGTGTCTGCCAGGCGCTCAGCCTGCAAGGGCCTGGCAGCTCCTGACCTGCTGTGTGCTCCTGCTGGCCCCAGAGAGAGGGCGGTGGGATGGTCCAGTGGGAAGCCTCCGACCTGGCAGGCAGCAGCTGCTTCTCTTCATCTCCGTCTCCGTGGGAGACCCCGGCTCCGCAGGGCTGGCACTTGGTGGCCTTAGCCCGCTCCCCTGGACTCGAGGAGGAAGCATGTGGGAAGTGCACAGCATCCGGGGTCTGTAGACAGGATCTTGTTTGAAGGCCGTCGCTTATCAAACTAGATTAACTGCCTCCCAACAAGGACACGTTCATCTTCAG